ACACACACAACACACACACACACACACACCACACACAAGACAGGGAGACGGACAGGACAGACAGGGGACAGCATCAGTGTGTGTGTGTGTGTATCCGTCTACTACTGACCCGCAGAGACTCCTGGAAGGAGGAGGCCTGGTACTGGGCGTATTTGATGATGGTGGTGTGGGAGCGGCTGCTCTCACAGCGCCACATCTTCTTGGTGCCGCTGGGGTCCCAGTTCTCATCGGTGGGCTGAGCCAGCTGGGTCCGCACCTCCACCAGGTGGTCCGGGTTGGCCTCCACCAACGTCTTAGTAGAGAACAAGCCCAGATCTGTGCGTGCATGTTGGAAAGAAAAAAAGAGTAGGCAAGGCAAGTGTTACAATAAAAAATGAGATTTTGTTTATTGAAGCTTTCACATATTATTTAACAATAATTTTTAATTACTTCCTCTCATGTTCAAAATGTTTTTTAAATATTGTATTATCTAATCACTGAAGGACAGTAGTAACATTAAGTTAAGGATTAATTTTTTTAGATTCTTTTAATAACTTTAAAGTAGAGCTAGGAGAGAAGTCGATTCATTCGAATGCATGTTTTAACGCAATGCAAAAATGACTGAATCTTAGAATTAAGATTTAAACCACAGCTGTTAGAGAGTGTCATTGTCAATCTCTCACACACACACACACACACAATGCAGTCTGGGTAGAGGTAGTGGAGCAGGTGGGTTTGTAGGCTGTGTCGTTCTGTGTCTATATTGTCTTATAGTACCTTTGGCTATATAACGGGAACAATCTGTCAGATTACAGTATTACAGAATAGTGCAGCAACTCATTGTAATAGAAGATCAGATGTTAAATTATTGGCAAAGCCACATAGTTCTCTCTACAGCAAACACGTGCAGTAACATTTTCCACTTGCAGGTGGTGCTGTTGTCATGTATCAAATTCATTGACACAGCTCCCTCCTGTTATCACTGAGACACACCCACAGAGCCACGTGAGACTGTAGAAGACAGAAACATCAAGCTGCACATGCTCACAGCTGCTGTCACCGTCACATCACACATGTGCCATCAAACACATTTTAAATGCTTGAAACTTGAAAACTCAGCCTGTGGTTCACTTTAACAGAGCGGTTTTAAATGCATCTCTGGCACTGCTTTGTACCTAGTTTGAGCGCTCCAGCCAGTCCTCTGATGACAGTGACCGGGTTGGCAGGGTTAGTGCAGAACTGATGGAGGGGAGGGAAGAAGGCGTCCCTCTTGTTTTCGAGCTGTATGTCAGAGAGGAGAGGAGAGGAGGGGTCAGGGAACTCCAGACACATTAAAGAGGAGCTGCTCTAACATTGCAAATAACAACATCACAAGCACTTTTTCTATGGGGTGGCTGTACGCACATAAATACTGGGCGTTGGGGGATTGAGTTTGTCCTTTGGCAGCGGAGGAGAGGGCGGGTGAGGGGGTCGCGGAGGGGGACACTTGTCCAGGAGGATGCTGCTCGTTGACAGGCCGTTCTTCCCCAGGTTCCTGCAGCCAGAGAATGGGTCAGTTTATGAGCTCATTTTGTAACCTTGCCCCTTTCACAGAATTATGTTACATCATTTCACTGAGCTTCAACACACCTAACAACAAAACATTTGGGATTAGATTGTAGTTTACAGAATCAGGACTTCATTAACCAGGAGAACCACATTGAGAGAGGGGTCAGCCTTTCCAGTCAGTAAAGGATTTGCTAAGCAGTAGCAGGGAAGTGCTATCTAGTAGTACGCATATCACAGCTTTTGTAAATTTAAATCAATTGTGTTATAGAATGCCTGATCCACTTACAATCCTTTATTTATTGTTAACTACTAGAGATGCGTCATATTGGATTTTTTTGCGTAGATTGCAAGTTCATAACCTGTAATTTATGCACACCTGATGGTAGGAAGCGGAGATGCAGTGAGCAAAGATAAATCATTTGATATTCCATAGCTCTGTTTTAACCAAATCTAACTGACATCACTGTTGTTTAGTGATAAATTAATCAGGTTGCTTATCCTGATGCTAAATATCAGCATCAGCCAGTTAAAAACCTGTATCGGTCAACCACTATTACTGGTAACACAACAACAAACAACAGTTCTGATGCTCCACATGCTAATTTATTTTCTCTAGTAAAGTTCATCAACATCTTCAGAAACATAGTTTGGCTTTCAATAAAACACAGAGCCTATTAAACCTTTTGCATTAGGATTTAAAGATATTATTCTCAACTGATAATTTATCTGCCCCAATATATATGGTGCCTTCCTATTAACTGCTGCACTCTGAGTATGCTCTGTTGCCCTTTCAACCAGTGAGCTAGGATACAGTGGTTCGGACTGATGGAAGAGCAGGAGGCAGCACATTAGCTCTTCAGTTGTGGTTCATACCCACAACAGCTTGTTAACAAGTAACAAAAAACAGCCTGACTTGACTGAGGTTTTTTTTATTTTTGTATGGCTGCTAATAATTACTGTCTGAATGACCTAATGTGAACATGACATAGGAGAGGGCCCAGCATGAGGATTGGCCCTAAGACTACGGGGCTCAGATTAGCAGACATATGCTGGTTTTTTGCCGGTGTAGTTGTCTGGCAGATGAAAATGTCAACAGACTAAAACATCCGCTTGTGCCGAGGAGTTGGACGGCTTCAACTTTGCACAAGCTTAACAGACTGTTCACACTTGGTGGGTGTATTTCTGGGGACCCAAGGAAGTTCAGTGTCGAATTCTGTGACATGTTCAGGAATAATAAACTCTGAATAAACAGCGCTTTTGATGCAAGACTGGTAGTTGTTCTATGTGGCTGGAATTCTGGGATATTAACAGCCATATTGTCTGCAAAAAAGACAAGAAAAAGTCTAGTCAAGCATAAAGTCTGGTGTCTAAACAGTGACAAGAGCATCAGAACAGCTACCTACTGGATTAAAAATTCAAGTAGCCAAAAGCTGGTCTCAGATCTATGTCTGACATTATCTCAGGGGCTCATGATGCTACAGTGAAACTGCATTACATCAAGTGGCAGTTATTATCCAAACAAGATGAGAAATGCAACCAGCAACACGCGGTGTGGGGTCAAAATGTCATGATATTTTCCAGCTGCACCTAAGGATCAACACATTACTCACTACTTTACGATTTCACATATGAATGAGTCTGCTGCGTAACTGTCACAAACATTCAGCATCACACGAGTTTCCTTCAATTGGTAAAAGGCTGGTGTGAGCAGCGTTTTGATGCCCAGAAACGTCCCGCACACAACAAAATAAGAAAATACAGGCAGAGGTCTGCAGGTTCTCTGCAGATACAGACACTGCCACACACTTCTAGTGGCTAATAATTGATGATTATGTTTGTATGAGTCTATACATTGAAAATCCTTTGTAGTATGCCTTAAAATGTCCAAAATACATTACGTTAAAGAAGCAAAAAACAACCAAAAAATGTTGCACATCACTGAGTCCAAATGTATTCAGTCTTACAATGTCTCTCTCACAGACGCATTCAATTTTTATAGTTAAGATTATGGTGGTGACAGCTTCTTACCTGCAAGCTTTGAGCACTTCACTGGAGCTGGGGTAGATGGAAACAGAGGACCAGGGTGCCAGACCAGCAGGGACAGTGCGTCTCTGAGCTCCCCCAGAAGGCTTTACCTTCAGTGGGCTCTGGGAGTCCCCCAGCCCCTTCCCATTGACAGTGGGCCCCTGGCTGTCGGTGTTGGACGGACTGTTAAGGCAGGAGAGGCTGTTGGTGGTGTGCAGGTCTGCAGAGTGTGGAGAGGACGTGGTGGTGGTTAAAAGTAGCGGCTGCTCTGGCTTAGCGGCACCGTGGAGATCTGGGTGGACGTTGTTGATTTTCTCTGAGGAAGGCTCGCCATGGTTACTGTAGTTATTGTTATCGTCGTTACTGGTAGCATTGGCTTTTCCCTTTAGCAAGGCTGAGAGCTGAGGATTGTCTGAACTGAGCACGCCGGGGGCAGGAGAGCCTGGCTGAGACAGGCTAGCAGAGCTGTCTGTCACCCGCGGCTGGACGTGATTAGTCAATCCCTGCACGCGGGTGGTGCCGGGACTTAGGGGTGTCCCTCCGGAATGCCTGACGGCAGCCTCCGGACCTGATGGCAAAGCGGCAGCTGATCCGTTGCTGCCATTTTTGCCCCCTGAAGGCGTGGTGTCTTTGGTGTGGACCCCTGAGGTAGTTGCGGAGTGGGGAGGCGAGGACAAGTGGTTGGGTGTGGTCTGGGGAGACGTGGGGGACAAAGAGGAGGCTGAGGAGGAGGCAGTGCAGGGCCCAGAGGAATGTCCAACCTGATTCAGAATGCCAGAGGAAGAGAACGAGGTCTGAGGGGAGGAGGAAGAGAAAGGGGGTTCTCCATTGGGACCTGCCGAATGTGAACCTGGACCTTTTTGAAGCCCCTGGACAGAGAGGAAGACCACAAAATACAATCGTACCAGGTTAACAAAAAGAGAATACCAGAAAACGCAAAGCACAGAAGGAACAGAGAAGGGAAGAGAGATACCTGAGTGGTAGTGTTGCGTTGTTGGCTCCTCCATGTCTCGTCTGGATGACTGGGACTACTGGTAGTGCTGCTGGTGCTAGGGTGACTGGCGGCTGTGCAGTTGTGAGGTAGAGAGTTCTGCTGCGGGTAAGGCACGTTTCCGTTGCTCGCGCCACCACCTCCCAGTCCCAGGGTGTGATTTTTGTCCGTGTGTCCCAGCAGCCCCGCTGAAGGACTCGAACAGCAGGATCCGTTGGCTGTGGGCTGGGTGACACACGGGGGCCGGGTGGCTGTGTGATTGAGGGGGGAGGCGCGGGAGAGGCCTGCGTGGTTAGAGGGCTCAGCCAAAGGACCGTTGGGTAGGCCGGGCCGTGGCTGGCCACCCGCTGCTGCCTGCTGCCTCATCTGACACAGAAGAGGGAAGATTAATGCTGACCAACAGTCTTTGAACAACTACACCAGCAGCCACCAGGACAAACAGGACCACACACAAAACTCGTTATGACTGCAGTATAGTGTAGTATAATCAAGGTGTGTACCGGCTGCTGATGCTGTTGCATATGAGAGTACTGATTCTCCAGCTGCTCCAACATCTGCACCTGGGGGGGCTTGATTTTAAAAAGAAAATTCAAAATCGTAATATATTGCCTTGCTTTACAGTATTGCAATATATCGTGATATATTGAATCGTAGCCCCTGTGTTGTGATACGCATCATAAGAATAATGTCAATACACAGTCCTATAAAACATGGCTGCTGTGGCTCAGGAGGCAGAGGGGGTCATCTACTAATCAAAAGGTCGTGGTTTGATCCTTGGCTCCTCCCTTTACATGTCAAAGTTATATTTGAAACAGCTAAAAAAAAAAAAAGTGTTTATGAATGACCCCAGTTCAAGTCCAGCTAGGCACCTGTGTTACATCTCTCTCTCCCTCGTTTATAATATAGATAATATGCGGCTTAACCACTATCAAAAAGTAGTAGTATCTAGTATCAGCTCAGGAAAACGCCCTCTGCTTTCTTTTCTCATCAATGTGGAAGAATATTTAGATGCATTTTTGTGGAGGTTTACATTAACGGTGTGTAGCTACAGAGGCTACATTCATAAGCTTGACATGAGTATAAATCTAGGCAGATCTAGCTGCAGATGTGACAGCCTCACAACTGCAACAGGACTGCATTGAGAACATTTATCTGACTCAGGAAAGTTTCTGTGTATAAAAGACCATTACTATCACACACAACAAACATAAATATGAATGCCCTACCTGTGGCTTCTGTGGCGTTAGGTACCAGCTGGGGATCTGCTGCTGACTGGGACTGTTTGCCCATGAGTCTGCAGCACCCTGTGAGTAAGACAGAAACATGTCAACCATGGCTCACACCCTCTCAACTGCACAGCACAATAGTAATGTTAATGTTCTTAGCCGTACCTTAGCTGGGCTGGCAGTGCGTTTCCTCTTGGCAGGACTGGCCTGTGGGTCTGTGTGATTGCTGGCAGACTGGCCTCCCTCCCCCTTACAGGCCTAGAGAGCCGGCACAGAGACACAGCTTGTGAGGACTGACAATAACAATAAAGCTTCTTCCAAGTTCCTTAAGTGGACTTCAGTTCATAATAAATAAATGTAGTGTCTCAAATAGGGGGAAAACACAGCCATGAATCCAAATTTGTATGCACAACGACACCGATGATACACTGAATACTACATTACATGCACAACAATGTGAGCATTTAAATACTGCATGTATGGCAATACTCCGATTAATATACGGTTGGTGTTACCACCTTAATCTAATTGACAGAGGTTGATTAAGGTCATTATCAGAGTATTCATGCTGTGATTAAAGATGTGATTATGTGATTAATGCAACAGTAGTTGCATTAGTAGAGGGTTGTTTAGACATGCAGACCGCATGTTCTGGTCTCTTCAGTTCCCACTGTTTCTGGACACTTTCTATGCAACATTAATAATTACAGATAGCAGTTGCTTACATTTACTCAATCACACCTAAAAAAAATTTAAAAAATACATCTGATCTTGGATTTTTTTTTATTTATTTTTTTATAAAAAATACATTTCTGTTACTCCCATTTTTCTATGTTTGGTGACAGTGCAGATCAAGCACTAATGATGGAAATTATATTATTTGTAGCCAAAGGAGGATGAAGTCAATGTTAGAGATTATAATAGACAAAAGTGCATGAAAAAGACATTCAATGTGGAAAATAAGAGGACTAAATAAAACTGATGTGTTGATGGTGAGGGTCGACCTTCAGATCTATGTTCACAGCTCAGATTTGTCTCATTTTCAAAGACAAGTAAAAGCTATTCATGCCAGTTTTTGTCAAATAAATTACACAAAAACACATAAATTCATTAAAGGGGACCTTTTATGCTTTTCCTTAATTTCTGTCTATATGTATACATATATACACATATACAATTAATATCACACACACACACACACCACCACAACAACACAACTACAAATGTATAACAACAGTATATAAAAAAGAAATCTCTGATGAGCAAAAAGGCTGAGAATTATCCAACGTCCTTATCTACATTCACGATGAAATTCCGACTTAACAAGAGTTACTGAGGGAGAATATGTACTTGTGATACCGCTAACTGCTGCTAACAGACTGTGAGCTTGAGGCAGCGACGGTCCCGGTGGTCCAAAGATCCAGTACTAGAGATCTGAAGTTAAACACAGACACTGGGCAGAGTCACCTAATGGTACGGTTAAGTTAGCTGCAGGCTAACCAGCCAACACCAGCAGGTGGTTAGCAGCTAAAGTAGCTAACAACAGTTAACGAAGTTCCATCAGGAAACTCTGTAAATCACTGACAGTTGAAGCAGAGCAGCCGGAGGACATCAGAGGGAAGACCAGAAAATATTTTATATTGTCTCATTTGTGGTCTGATAAACTGTAAATTCATCAAATTCAGAGCCCCATTTTGCTTTAAGAGAAAATACTATAAGATAAATAAGCATGTTATCATGCAAAGCTACTCTAGAGGAGTCTCACACTAAGAATATAGAGCTGGAAATTAGCATAATAGGTCCCCTTTAATATACTGTGTATTAAGCATGCATTTTCATTTACCATGACTGCACAAGATTTGTGCATCTTTGCATTAGGAATAAGAGTTGTGGGACATAATGAGGTCCTTGTACCATTGCTTTGTAATTTGAACACTTGACAAGTGACAGAGAGAGGCACTATGAAGGTCAACTAGTAATTTGATTACTGAAATACAGGCCTAGCTCCAATCCCTTCAGATTGTTTCCCATTTTATCTTTTGGCCCACATTGGCCACAGATGCAAACCAGAGTTTTAGAAACATAGATATTTTCTGATTTGGAAAAAACATCTGAAAGTGTCAGAGCAAGGCCTCAGCATTTAATAGTCCTCGTGAATTTATATTGTTCAAGACATTTTCAAGAGGCTAGAGTCTCTTGTATAAGCTGGATCTCACCTGCTGTGCCTGTGCAGTGTTCAAGGCCCCCTGCCTGGATGTGAGCTCAGCAGGAATGGGTAGGCTCCACGCCTCCTCAATACTAGGAAGCATTTTACTCTTATTCTGCAGACTACCTGGCTGTAGGTTACACAACTGAGCCTAGGAGAAATTGTGTAAGACACAAACTTTAGTGCTGAACTTGGGTTTAACAAGAAAGGCACTACAAAGACTGCTGCTTACTCATAGGTGATGTTTCAGGTAACCATATACAGAATATAACAGAAATGTTCAATGCCATGAAGGTATGCTTTACAATTACAAAGTGAGAAAATGTGTTTAAAAACACACCAATATGAATTATTATTCATATTTCTGTGGTCAGAAATCAAAATGACAAAAGCACAATCTGCATTTTGCTTTGGCAATAAGCGCAGCACTTCAATACACACACACACCAAAATACTCCACAACATCTAACAAACGGGGCTGGCTGATGGTGTGATCAATGGACAGCCCTACCTGCAGCAGTTTGATGCGTTGTGTGAGTGCAGCAGTGTTGAGGCAGGCCTTGCTGCGCGTAGCATTGATGTAACACTTGATAGCGTCATGCGGCTGGCCGCAGGATTCGTAAAGGGTACCCAGGTCCATCCAGGCGGCTGCGTGGCTGTGGTCCAGTTGAACGGCGCAGATGTAGGCCTGCAGTGCGTCCATAGGCTGGTTCTGCTGCTGGTAGAGCACCCTGAAGGCAGAGGCAAAGAGGGGGAGGTAATTCTCTTTCCATATTCCAGGATTTAGGGTCCTTATCTTTCTGAGGCATCTCAACGCTTAGAGGACATACTCAACCCTTCACCCATCTATCTATAGATCATTTCTCAACCACCTGCTGCTGTTACTGACCATCTTCCTGATAGCGTTCTCTGTCACACTGCAGCCCCAAGCAAAAACCACCCTTGAACAGATGAACTGTTATGTGCCAGCTATTCCCTCCCCTCTTAGGCCTTTTCCATTAACAGGGATTCCGGTTCAAGCACCTAGTTTTGAACCTCTCGAAGTATTTCGACCAAAAATAAATTGGTTTAGAACCTAAAAGAATTGGTTCCCAGCAGGAACCCAAAAAACTGCAGGTTTTGCCTGGGAACTAAAGTAGGCGTGTCATATTCTACAGGTCGTTGTGCATTGTGCAGCGCCCTTTTTTGATTATGCATTCAATTACTATGGTTATACTCAACACTGGTGGAAGCACACACTTGTGTGCTAGAGAGCACCAAGGTGACAGGAATCAGTTCAAGAACTTATTTGGTGGACAAGAGCTCTCAGAGATGTACAGATGGTAGCATCACTTCACTTGTGACCTTTGCTATGCTTCTAAAGTTGCATTCTTACCCTATGGAGCACCAGGTGTCAGCGCTGGCCTCCGACTTATCAATGGACTGACGGTATGAGATGAAGGCATCCTGCACCTTCCCAATACTGGAGTAGCACCTAGAGGAGAGAAGACAGACAGAGAAAAGGAATGAATGAAAGCCAAACAAAAAACATGTAGAGAAAGGAATCAAATTCAATGTGACGTAGGTTTGGTGATCAGATCACTTTCCTGCACCAATATTGAGGTGATTTTAATTGATTTATTATCAGAGCTTATAATCTATTATAATCTATAACTATATTGTGCATTTAGAGATGTTTCTGACAGAGCGGCTCGTGGCTATGGCCCGTTCGTTAATCAGCTCGAGTGAATTTTAAATCCCTAATTACAAACAAGTTCTGCAGTCTTTTTTCCATGGATCTGACACCCTGCATCTCCGTCCTCCATACGCCTGCTCATCGAAACTTTAGTCTGCGCTCCATACGAGAGAGAGAAAGATTGTGATATAAATAATAATAATAATAATAATAGAAAATGCTGTCACAAGTACAGACACACCGACTTTGATCGTCTCAGTCCAAAGGGCATGAAGTGCCCTGAAGTCATTTTTTTTTGACAATACACATAGACGTGAGGTTGACACCCAATAAAAAAGGCACAGAATAAATTTTGCAACCTAAGCGAAGCACTTTTGTGGTTTATAGTTTTAACTATCAGATCCATTGGTGTCAGTACATTTATAAAACTACCACTGGCAAAACCCCTCCATATCTTAACTACTCAATATCTTCAACAGTAACCACAATCTGCATTCCTTCAGATTTATCTCTTTGGACAGTCTGTACCTCTTTCGGCCCGTCACTCTTTACAGTCTGCCACTCCCAGTGACTGGAACCAGTTGCAAAAGTAGCTGCAACTGCTCACCCTCATTCGGTTTTCCTGCTTTAATAAGTCAGTACCTCCACTTGCTTTTGAAGTGACCTCTCTGGAACACAGTATGCTGATTTCCATTGTGTACATACAGTATATATTGCGGTTGTAACTCTGATTGTTTTTTTTTTTTGCCTTAGCTGTATGTATGTTGTACTTGTTGTATTTGATTGTCTCTTGATGCTGCTTCTTGTCCAGGTCGTCATTGTAAATGAGAATTGGTTCTCAATTGACTTATCTGGTTAAATACAGGTAAAATAAATAAAATAAAAAGGTTCTTGACCCTTTTGTCTATGCGGGTGTTAAACTCCAACTGCCACCATCCTGAGCCGTGATTGGACAATAAGAACTGACACAACCTCGACCCTAATGTGAAGGAATGATAAGGAGAGGAGGGGCGTTTATAAAGGTCACTGGACAAAGGGTAATTCTTGTACATCAACATGTTGAGGGTCGAACGCTGACTGCTTAGTGGAAAAAGGAACAGTGACTAGCCGAGCCTAGCTAACACCTTAAGGGACAGCATGGACCTAGAGGGGTGGGGGTTGTATGCTTATTCGCTCCAACGTCTTTGTGCATTTAGCCTGCTTATCTGCCCCCAGGAGAAACCCACAACTGAACCAGACAGGAACAGGAGAATTTAGTTTGAAGCACGCGCCTTCATTGGGCCTACAAAGCTTTAATCACTACCAACTACTCAACCAACAAAAAGCTCATGCAGCAAAGATTATTATCATAGCACACTGGCAGATGGCTTCTACGTAAAGCAAACAGTATAATCACTAAACATAACCTGCGAGAGCACGGGTTTGAGGCAAGCCCTGCAAAACACACAAACACTCACACCCTTGTTTGTCTTACCTGCCGAGAAAGTACCAGGACTGGCCAGAGTTTGGGTCGGCTTCTAAAGACTTCTGCAGACACTGGATGGCATAGCTGTCCTTGGTGCCTTTGTCCCCCAGCTGCTCCACTGTGTGATGCATCCAGCCTGCAAGAGCAGAGCAAAAGATCAATGGTGAGTCAAGATTCAGCTCTAACATCTCAAACAAAACCAGCTGGCTTTCTTGCTCCTGGGGTAGCACCAGGGTATCGAGCAGCAGAGTTAGAGCAGTGTGGAGTTAAATCAGGTAGAGTCAAGCACCTGATGTGCAGTCAGAAAGGTAAGACTCCTGTCTGAAATGAAAAAGGATTAAACTAAACAAACAGCTCTTCGCTCTTCCAGAGCTCTGTAACCCAAGAGGAAGGACCAAAACATGCAGACAAAGAGGGGACACACACACACACACACACACACACAAGGTCTCATGTGAACCAGGCTTTACAAACAACTCGTTCCTGCTCCACAAGTGCATACACACACCACACACAGATGGGCAATTTCCAACAAACAGCAGACGCAAGCAAAGACCTCCCTAGTTCTTCTCCTATACACCTGTGGCAAGCTCCACAAGTCGCCATGGCAACCTCAGCAGACTAGACTGGAAAGGGTTTTTACAACTGGGTGAGCAGGTGGGGGGTGGCTGTCTACAAACAGGAAGGGAATAAAATGGAAATCTCTCTGCGTCTGCACACACAAATGTCTGATGGTTTTAATCTAACTTTCTGACTGTCGCTTTGAGAAAGAAGACAAAAAAAAAGGTTTTCTTCTGATTAAGTTCATCTTCAAAGCACATTTCCAGGTTGATGTTCTAACCTTGGAGCTACACTTCATTTGCCACATACTGTCTCACATAAAATTAATGTTGCATTACGCTGATATGGTTTAACAAAATGCTTTTCCCTCTCAATGCAGCATACAACACTATGTAGACATCCTTGGATCTCCTTTTCATACTCATCATTGTTCAATGTATGAAAGACTCAAGTGGCCTCCTCACAACACAAGACACACTCATTGGTTGCAACTAATTGCACTTTTCCTATCTTTTTACATTCGGATTTACTCCAACAGTTGAAAAAAGAGCTTTTATGTTCAAGGATCCTTCTGAGTGGAATAATTAATTTGACATCATTTAGTATGTTCGAGAATGCTGTGATCTCCTATTTGGATCATAATTGCACATGTTTTAAGTTGGGCTGCACAATTAATCTAAATATTATCAAAATAGTAATATGCACAGGTACAATAGGCAATTTGTAGAAGCTGCAATGTATTCATGAAGGTAAAATATGTGACAAACAGCATTATAATGAAGTAGAAATGTAGAGAAGCCCGGGTCTACAAATCTTGTTCTCCAGATTTAAGAAAACCTGCTTGCTTGGCACAGACCCCAACAAATTTCATATCATAATGATTTTAACAGTTTTTTCAGTGAAAATTCCCACTAATCGTGAATCATATCACAATATTTGTCAAAATAAAGGCTGTATGATGTTTTAACCACAGCCAATTTCTCCACCCCGATAAATACCCAAATTTCTATTTAAAACTAAAGTAAACTACATTGGGGATACAATATCGTAGAAATATATGTACAACCTACAGCAGCAGGTTTGGACCCGGTTCGGGCAGAGAATCAAAGCTTTATTCTGCATGTCTAACGAGTTGACCCATCTCAAGGGGCTTATCCTAAATGAACAAAATAAATGTGCATATATACCTTCATGTAGGAAAATCAAGGCAACTCAAAGTATTTCATATAAAAGGCAGCGGGATACCAAGTCTTTTCATTACCAAGGCAACAACGTCGCCAACAGTAAGTAAAGAGAGAAGACAAAAGGGCCAGCTGCATTGTCCCTTTATTGCTACACAGCTACAACTGTCAGTACTGCCTTCCATAGTCTCCAGGCATGTCCTGAAACCCAAATTTATAGCTCTAACATTAGCTTTCAGGTGACTGTTTTGGCAAAATGACAATTATCATAAAATTAAAGTGTAGTTTCTAGGAAGTGAATTTAAAGGATTTGTTCTGAGCTTTCAGAGCACATTTACATTATCTGGAACATTTCTCAGTCTTTTTTTTTTTTGGGTCTTTATGTGGCGTTGCCTGTCATTGCTTGAATTTATTTAACCTCTGGAAAAGGCTCTCTAGATGATCTGAAGACCTAGTGATCGACCAGATGACCTACAGCCTTGCAGCCTCTGGTGACAGTGTACAAAGATGTAACAGACCAGTACACAAATGGAATTGTTGCAGTGTCATTTAGTTATTTCACTAAAATATTCCATTATATAAACATGAGATGGACAAAATTGATTCTACGATTCAATTTGACCTTCCTTTCTACTGTCTCTGACCCACATAATCAGCACAATCAGATTCCTAACGTACAAGTTATACACTGCCATGTTTGTCATACATGGATCAATAAATCACATTTCCAGTGTTTTTTTTAAATCAACATAGCAGTGAAACTTGATGTGTGTAAAATAGAAATTATCATTCCACTGTGACTGTGAAGAGTGTTTCTAAAGCATTATATTTATTAGTAAAACAGTTTTCTTAATTAACTGTATTCATAAAGGCATCCACCCAACATCATTTTGCATTTATGTGCACGTGTGTTTCTATACCCAGTGTGGGGGAAGGGAACCAGAGACAACTATGCTCCACTGCAGCACACACACTCCAAGCAGCACTTTGGAAAAGAGGTTTAAAGTAACAGAAAACTACTTTGTGTGATGTAGGAATGGATTTCATTCAACAAAATGACAGCTAAAAGAAACCAAAAAGACATCTCCAGAACACACAGCATAATGCAGCCCCATCACAAACAGTACCAAAGTATCATGCACAAACAGTCATTGCAAAGCAGTTCATTATACAGAATGCTAAGACGTTACAGGACACTTAAGGCGGTGTAGTCTTATATTTCACATGAGTGTATCAGCCTATGTGAGCAAGGGAGACTCACCAAGTTGTTGCAGTGTAGTCGCCTTCACCTGTGCAGGAAGATTTTCCGTCTGCAGCAGACTTTCATACGCTTCTTTCGCCGCTCTGTATTTCTTCTGCAGGCAGAATGAGAGGGGGAGGAAAACGAAGAGAGAGACAGACAGAGAGGTTGTTTAAGCCAGACAGGAGGGTTAAGTGTGTTTTATTGCTCTATCTGGACAGACACAAAGACTCTTAAGACCTCCTCACACTCGTAATGACCAGCCAGACACACACACACACACACAAACGCGCACACAGGGGAGGGTCACTGTGGAAGAGGACAGGCCAGAGTCAACACGTCTGGTAGCTTCAAGTGTGTAAGTAAGTGTGTGTGTGTGTGTCTGTACGCGTGTGTCCACTGCAGTGCACGCTTTGTATTTTGGGGAAACCTGAGCTGACTGGTCTAAGGTGAGCCCACTGTTTGTTTTAACTTCCTGACCTTATTGACCTCGGGTCTGAACCGGTAGGTAGGTGTGTGTGTGTGCTGGCTGAATG